GCCAGATGTTTTCTGTCACAGATCCCTCGTGCTCTCTGAAACAAAGATTTACCCACGGTAGCTAACTGTGAAGGATGATGGTGAGATTCACCATTTAAATATCGGTTGGTATGGGTCTTTTTCCTATACACAGTGTGACCAATAGTGTTATCAGGATTTCGGATGACTAAAACATCTAGGAAAGCTAAAGAATTATTTGCCTCTAACTCCATTGTGAATTGTATTTTAGAGTTTATTGAGTTAAGGTGGTCTAAAAATGCAGTTACTTTGTCAGATGGTAAAATTGTGAAAGTGTCGTCTACGTACCGCTTGTAGAACCTTGGATTTACAGGAGCAGTAAGAAGGGTTTTCTCCTCAAAGTCCTACATGAATATGTCGGCGACTATGGGAGACACAGGTGAGCCCATCGCCACACCATCTACTTGCTTGTAGAACTCCTCCTTCCACAGTAGATAGCCAGATGTGAGGCAATGTTCAAGTAGTATTGCATATTCTTGAGGCATGTTATTTTCTTCTAGCTTCCTAGTTACAATTGAGATGCAGTCCACAATAGGTAGGCATGTAAATAGTGACTGAACATCAAAACTGACCATAGTTTCATTGTTAGCGAGATGTAGGTCTTTTATCTCACTCACAAAATGGTATGAATCCTTTGTGTGTGCTCTGGTATGTCCTCTTAGTGGTGATAGTAATTTTTGCTAAGTATTGTGCCAGCTTATAGGTTGGTGAATCGATCTGGCTCACTATGGGACGTAGTGGAGCGTTTGGTTTGTGTATCTTCGGTAACCCATACAACCTCGGTGGTTTGGCACATGATGGTATTAGCGAATTCACGTCGAGATTTAATTTTTCGGAGCATTTCTTTATTAAAGTGCGCTGTAAAGCACCCGAAACGTCGGGATAATAATAAAAATAAATTAAAGTAATTAAACGCGATAAAATCCGTAAATAATAGTTTTATTCAATGTGTAGTGTTCGCGTAAATTTAAGAAATCATTATTTGATAACGCAGTTAAAAGGAACCACAGGGTTTTTGTTACATGTTGTATATGTACTCTTAAGTACAAATTATACTTTATTATATCAAATTCAAACTAAGCAATCAGAATAAAAACATTACGCTACGCGTCGAGCACAATAGTGGTGGTGCGTACAAGTTATAACTTGTATCATCATGCATTAGTAAAAAAATAAATTAATAATAAATTATATATAACAGATTACAGGGGGTGCCAGATTACCGGGGGTCCACTGTATCTCATAAAAAACTATGTTAAGTTACTGTTAAGTGATTACCTCGTTGGTCTCGTGGTCGTTTAGATAATCGATTCAAAATAATCGATAGTTACGTTAATTACGTTTAATAATCGTATAATAATTGAAGATGGCGTGGTGTAATACTAAGAATACTCTTAACTATTTCGTTTTCAGCTATGTGATCTGAACCGACCAAAATATGTATATGCAAAAATACAATCTATTCGCTTCCGGGTCTAGTGATGTTGTCATTGTCAACGTTACATCGGGCATACGAAGACGAGTTGGAGCGTGTGAGCAGACATTTTAACCTACGCTAGTAACATTATTATTTTTGTGCGATTGAGAGCCTCTGATTTTAAGAAACTGCCGCCGTATTGGAGAAAAATCGGCCTAGAGGACATCAAAATAAAGATATAAAAGAAAATCATAAGATTATATTTCTCGTTATCGCCAAAACAACGATCACTTACAGCAAGACGATATCGCGCGGTTGCCGTCGAAACTTCTAGACAGGCCATGTATCACATTAACGGAGTAATTAATGTAATTAATGGAGTTCAGCAACTGTCATAATAACGAAACTTCTCTTGACTTACAAATAGTTGACACGCCGTGGTTTCCCACAAAGGTATTTACATATCAATTCGGTCAGCACGTTTACTATTTTTCACGAACGTGCTATAAACAAACTTTTATTTTTATTTCACTTGATTTATTTTTAACTACTAATTGATTAATGATTACTATCAAATATTTAAGTTAATAATTTATAATTTATGCCTACTGTGGCCCGTTAGTTTAATGAACATAAGCGTAATAATTATCAACAACAATAAATTTAAACGATTATAAACATTATTCAAACGTATAAAATATTGGTAAGCTTGTTATTAATTAGTTCTAGAAATAGTAAATCACACCGCATAATACTATTTGTAGTCAATAAGTTATTACGCAGTGTGAGCCCCGACCCCGTGCGATTCTATAAGTAAAGTAAAGTAAGGTAAAGTTACAGCCTATATAACGTCCCACTGCTGGGCACAGGCCTCCCCCTCATTCCTGAGAGGGTTTTTGGGCAAGGAAGTGTCCGACGCGCTGCCCCAATGCGTGTTGGCGAACTTCACATATCTTCGAAATATTTTTTTCGTATTTCTCAGACATGCAGGTTTCCTCACGATGTTTTCCTTCACCGCCGATCATGTGGTAAATCAGGACTTAAAATTGCAATTAACAAATTCATTGGTGCCGGAGGAGATCGAACCCGGGTTACTCGCGTTCTGTTATACATTACATTACAGCGAGCGTTAACCATCTGAGCTACCACGGCTCTATAATTAGGGATGGATTTCATAAGTAGGGTTGTATTATCCTACTTATAGAATTAGCAGATAACTATAATAATATAATATTAAAAATGGCCAAATATGTGGCGGGACACACACAATGTAGAGTTAGGGTTCCGTAGGTCACAATACGTGGGCTTTCTTGATAATAAGCATAATGAGTTCGCGGATTGACTGCTATAACGATTAGAATGGGCCCAATTAGGAACATGGTAATTAAGTGGTATTCAAAAAGGTAAGCGAGTGATGTTCAAAAAAGATTAAAAAACCATGTCGATTTTAAAAATAATACAATTTACATCAAATCATTCACATGCCAAATCCGTACAATACGTGGTCATAGTTGAATATCTATCTATATACTATAAACTCCGGCAGTGCAACGCTAAGATATATATTATGACCGTAACGCACCTTCCCGTAAACCACCACTGCCATAAATTATCCTGAGGATTGGCCGTGTAAACCAAGAGTATGACGAATGAAACTGTATTAGGCTATATGATTGTATGAATACTTTGAATGAGGTCTACAATAACTACCTACTAAAACACAAGCGAAAGTAGTAAGTAAGCAGCCGTCCATTAATCACGTGAGGCTCGAACCCCCTCCTCTCCCCCGGAGGGGGTTTGACAAAAATCACGAAATATCACAAGGGGGAGGGGGGTGTAGTAAGATAATCACGCGTATTTTTTTGTCAAACGTGCGATTTCTAAACCAAAAAGCGGCGTGTAATCTGACCTTGACCCATCATCAGAATGGATACTCATTCTGCATATAGAAGCATATAGAAATAGTTTTTTTTTAAAAACACATTTAAAAAAATTAATTTAGATGAAAAAAATTAATTTGCAAATTGTATATGGTTTTATTTCCTCTAACTCACACGGGTATTGACACAGTACTGCGTGGTCTTTGACAATCCTCTTACTCCTCGGCCAATGCAGAGATAATAAAACCACATACAATTAGCAAATTAATTTTTTTTTTCAAAAACACATTTAAAAAAATTAATTTAGATGAAAAAAATTAATTTGCAAATTGTATATGGTTTTATTTCCTCTCACTCACGAGTATTGACGCAGTACTGCGTGGTCTTTGACAATCCTCTTACTCCTCGGCCAATGCAGAGATAATAAAACCACATACAATTAGCAAATTAATTTTTTTTTCAAAAACACATTTAAAAAAATTAATTTAGATGAAAAAAATTAATTTGCAAATTGTATATGTTTTATTTCCTCTAACTCACACGGGTATTGACGCAGTACTGCGTGGTCTTTGACAATCCTCTTACTCCTCGGCCAATGCAGAGATAATAAAACCACATACAATTAGCAAATTAATTTTTTTTTCAAAAACACATTTAAAAAAATTAATTTAGATGAAAAAAATTAATTTGCAAATTGTATAAATATGGTTTTATTTCCTCTAACTCACACGGGTATTGACGCAGTGCTGCGTGGTCTTTGACAATCCTCTTACTCCTCGGCCAATGCAGAGATAATAAAACCACATACAATTAGCAAATTAATTTTTTTTTCAAAAACACATTTAAAAAAAATTAATTTAGATGAAAAAAATTAATTAGCAAATTGTATATGGTTTTATTTCCTCTAATTCACACGGGTATTGACGCAGTACTGCGTGGTCTTTGACAATCCTCTTACTCCTCGGCCAATGCAGAGATAATAAAACCACATACAATTAGCAAATTAATTTTTTTCATTAAATTTTTTTTAAATGTGTTTTTTTTTTGAAAACAATTCTTTCTATACGCTTGGATACCGATTCTGATAACGCAGTTAACGGGAACCACAGGGTTTTGTTAGATGTTCTATAACTGATAATGACTATCGACGCTTCGTCACCAGGCACAGGTAATTTCTTCCTTCGAAACATATTCATTTCATTCCATAGTATTAAACAAATTTTTCAATCAAACAGACAACTTAGGATGCCATGTACTACGTTGAATCAAAATCAGTTCAGTAAAAGCTTTACCCTACCAAACTGTCACTCCATCTGTGCTCTTTCCTGTCGCGTTGTTTTTGGAGAGATGTAAATTATTCATACTCGTATATACGAGTAGATTTCGTCTAGCTACTTATAGGAAGAAATATTATAGTATTTGGGATATTGTAATATACTTTTTATAAATTTATAAACATGGTATATAGTTTTGTCTAAACTCCATTGTAACATATTTATTGTTTTTTTTTTCTCTCGAACTATCGACAATTAAGTTAATTGTGTTTGTAGCCTAATATAGGATATTAGTAAACATAATAATAAAAAATATAATAAATAAAAACATAATAATAATAAACATGCTGCATGCGTTGCTAATACCTATCCACCAAGCTCGAATCACAAACATTTGGCTATAGGTCCAATATGTGGAGACTCTTTGTACAGAAGTACCCTGATTTAGCTGAAAAAGTAACTGAACAAAGAGTATCTGACCAAAAACGTGTTATATTGGCCACAAAAAAGATAACACATGTAAGATTAGAACAACTCAAAGCCGAGGTTGCTACTGAATTTAAGACAGACAGTGATATGACATTTAATCAGGAAGATTTATGCCCCGAAAGTCCAAAAAATGATACGGCTACGCACAAACTCTTCTTTGATTCATGCATTTTGCTAGTAGAAACTGCTAAATTAATCGAAGTTGAAAAAGGTTCAGATAACCAGATGACTATATTTCTGCAGCAAGAATTCGAAAGAGCTATTATTGAATTTACGGGGACTAATCTATTAAAACGACCACCCATACCACGCCAAAACTCAAACGAAAATTGGCTATGGCCACACACATCTTAATCACCACCATATTGCCAAAACATCTTGCTAACTCTGACAAAAGTTTCGAGGCCTATTTCATACGTTGCAGTTGTACGATAATGGAGGAAAAGTTGAAACTTGTGGTACAAACCAAGAGCCCAGAAGAAAATTCCAGCCTGGGAGCATCGATTGATTCACCAAATTGATAAACTACGCCAACAAATAGGATAAATCACCCAATTTATAAGGGGCAATAAAAGTAAAAAGGTAATTGCTGTGTATGAAAAATTAAAATTAGAATTACTTAAGCACACAAAACATGATCCACCCAACAGGACTCCAGAGGAGATGCTAGATACACTTAAACAGAGTTGTCACTAAAGGCTAACCACTTAAGAAGATATCAGGCATCAAGGAAAAGAAAGATTAACAATGATAACTTCCAGAATAGGGAATGTATATTTTATAGACAACTCAGACTAAATACCAAAACTAATACAACTTATACTAACTTCCCACATATTGATAGCATAGAAAAATTTTGGAAGGGGATTTGGTCCGAAGACGTAAGCTATAATGAGGACGCGACATGGATCAATCTGGAGGATGAAAATCTCACCAACTTAGTGCCTATGACAGTGGTCTCCATTACGTTAGAAAATGTCACAAAATCCGTGAACAAAATACACAATTGGAAAGCCACAGGTCCTGATAACATTCATAATTACTGGCTTAAGAAATTTTCATCATTCCATGAACCCTTGGCGAAATGTTTTACGGGCTTCCTCCGATATGCTAAAATCATTCCCGCATATCTCCCGAATGGAGTTACGTATCTGATACCGAAGAACGAGAATATCGAAAACCCTGAAAACTACCGCCCTATTACTTGTATCTGTACGGTTTATAAGCTACTTACATCATGCTTGGCTGATAAGATATACGAGCACTTGGACCAAAATAAAATGCTAGCAGTGGAACAAAAGGGATGCATTAGAGGATCGCAAGCCTGTAAGGAACAACTCTTGATTGACGCTGTGGTCACAGAACATCACATATCTTAGGATGCAGAATGTCCATATGGCATATATAGACTATCGCAAAGCATTTGATTCTGTGCCACATTCCTGGTTAGTCAAAGTTCTCGAATTGTATAAGATCCATCCCGAGATAACATCACTGCTTCAACAACTTATGTCTTGTTGGAGAACTGAGCTGGTCTTGAATTTGGAAGGATACAACGCTAAGAGCGATCAAATCTCCATTCGACGAGGTATATTCCAGGTCGATAGTTTAAGTCCTCTATGGTTCTGCCATGTATTAAACCCACTGTCTACAGTTTTAAACCGCACAGGATACGGTTTTATTATTAAGGGAAGTAGTAGGAAGCAACTTAAACTGAACCATTTAATATACATATAATGATGACATTAAGTTGTACGCGGCAAATTTTCGTGAACTTAGGGGACTACTCCAATGCATTGAACAGTTTTCCGAAGATATCTCAATGTGCTCTAGACAAGTGCCGAACAATAAGCATTGATCGAGGTAAGGTGGGACTTTCCGAAGGTTATTGTCTTCAAGATGGTGGGATCATCAATTCAATGACAAAAGAGTTAACCTACAAATATCTGGGACTCCTGCAATCATTACGAGTTGACCACAGAGAAATAAGGACTCGGTTAACTACTGAGCACCACCGTAGGCTCAAGGCAATACTCAAGAGTGGTCTTAATGGTAAAAAAAACTTTCAAGGCAATTAATACTTTTGCTATACCAGTACTTATGTACACATTTGCGATTGTCAAGTGGTCGGACACTGAACTTGAGAGTGTCGAGCGAAGTACCCATGTATTGCTTACAAAATATCGAATCCACCATCCAAAATCAGCGGTTGAGAGGATTACTCTACCAAGAACTGAGGGAGGCAGAGGGCTCATAGATATTAAGAGACACTATACCAGACAAATAGAAAACTTACAGCAGTACTTCTGGAATAAAGAATCTTCTCCCTTGCATCTCATTGTCTGCCTGACTGGCGATAGGCTTACACCGTTGGGTCTCCTCCATGCAAAAGATATTGAACCCTCAATAAGTGATGTAAACCATGTTAAGAATAAACTTAGCCAGTGGGCATCGAAGGCTATTCACGGACGTTTTGCTCATGAGCTAAAAAACCCAAATGTGGATGTTGTTGCCTCAACTAACTGGCTTTGTAGAGGAGGAATATTCGCCGAAACAGAGGGATTCATGATAGCTATTCAGGATCAGGTTATTCCAACAAGGAACTATCTCAAGTACATAATTAAAGCCGAGATATAGGATGAACTGAAAGCAGATACTGTAGACAAAGCCCCGAAACAATTCAGCACATCACCGGTACCTGTCAGGCTCTTGCTGCGACATACTATACCCAAAGGCACAACGATATCGCCAAAAAAATCGTTTAGAATTTGTGTGAAAATACTCTCTGATAAATGAAGAAATTACGTATTGGAAATACCAACCGAGTCCTGTACTAGAAAATGAAAAGGTTACAGGTTTACTGGGACAGATCAATTTTGACGGATGGATCAATTCCCCATAACCGGCCGGATATTGTGCTGATTGACAAAGGAGTGAAGCGGACTTATTTGATTGACATTGGTGTTCCCAACTCACACAACATTCAACAATACTACACAGAAAAAAATTCAAAGTACCAACCACTTGCTGAAGAGGTAAAGCAGATGTGGCGACAGAATGAGGTAATTATAATGCCGCTTATCCTCTCAAATACAGGTATTTTAACAAAACAGCTAAGTAGCAACCTTGGAAAATTGGGCTTAGCAAGATCTGTGTTCGATAAAATTCAAAAGGCTGTAATCTTGAGGACAACTGCCATTGTGAGGAGACATTTATCCTTGTAACCGAATAATTTCCTTAACATCTTGCCGTTAAGGCCGATTTAGGGATATCAGCCCTTAAAGAGGAGTTACCGATAATAAAAATGATAAACATATGACGTCCCACAGGATACATCACCAGAGATAGTCAATTATGAGGCTGTACTTGCCGCGGAAACATGATAGACGTGGCTTTATAAGCTTACCGCTTATAGCTTACGCTTACCATGCATATTCGCGGAGTGTGCAGCCTCCGTAATAAATTTCTGACAAGATCGGATGATCCATTCTATAGAGATGTCATGTCTTGTGATAAAGGGCTTACCCCTCTATCCTTAGCCAACGAGCAATAGCAAGATCCGTACAGAGACTGAATGGAAAGAGAAGGAGCTCCACGGGAGATTCTACAAGGCTCTATATGAGCCTTTCGTAGACACATTTGCCTCTCTCCACTGGCAACGTTTCGATGACCTTTTTGGGAAACCGAGGGTTTTGTCTGTGCGGTACAGGATCAGGTTATTAAGACCAACAACTATCGGAGATACATCCTAAGGGATGGCACCTTTGACACCTGTCGAGCTATTCGCCATCCGGGTGAGTCACTTAGGCATGTCATCTCCGGTTGTTAGCTGCTTTCTACTTGCACAGGCACAACCTAGAAGCCAGAATTCTTCACCAGGAGCTCGCTCTGAAATAAGGTCTCGTGACCCGAAAATTGCCGTATTACAAGTAATTGCCGGAAGCCGTGCCCGCCCCAGGCTCTACTGGCACGGGGCCATCATCTCAGACATGACTATCCTTGCGAATAAGCGTGATATTTTGCTGATAGACTGGGCACAGTCAAGGATATTTTTGGTCGACATTACTATTCCGTATGACGAGAACCTCGTGAAAGTTGAAACAGATAAACGAACAAAATATCTGGAACTGCCTCACGAGGTGACCGACATGTGGGGTAGACTGCCGACCGAAATTATACTTGTAGTCGTTTCCACGAATGTGTTAATCCCAATCAGCCTTTCAGGACATCTGCGGCGACTGAAATTCCGTGAAGGACCGCTGTAAGCTCAAATGCAGAAGGCGGTACACCTAGATACCGCCCGCATCGTTCGCCGGTTCTTTTTCCTTTCCCCCTAACTCTCGGCCGTTTGGTCTCCCCTGTCGAGGGCTTCCATCTGGTTGGGCTTTTCTTTACTTATGTATTATTGATGACTTGATTTGATAACTGCCTCATGGGTCCAGTGGTTGTAGTAGTGCGACTGCTGATCATGAGGTCCTGGGTTCGATCCCCGGTCGGGCCAAAAAATTTATTATTGAGTTTTTTCGTCAAGAAATTCTCAGTAATAGTAGTCACTCTCAGTAATTCGGCACCCCCGTGTCTCGGAAAGCACGTAAAGCCGTTGGTCCTGCGCTTGATCTCTCTCCGGTCGTGTCGGTTTACCGTCCCATCGGATTATGAGTGTGAGGGAATAGAAAGTGCACTTGTGCTTGCGCATACACTTGGGCACTATAATCCTGTCCTGTGCCGATGGGTAGCCTCCGTTGAAGCAGGCCGCCGGGACCGGAATTCGGTCTGAAGGACATTATTATTGTTATGTATTTTTTGTATTTATTTAATTTTGTTGATATTTATGTATATTTATCACTTCATTTTCATTTACAATTATATATTTGTATATGAAAATGAATTTGTATACCTCAAAAAATAAAAATAAAAAACATAGGACAACGTCAAATACAAAGGCACTGAACTACGACGGGAGGGGTTTTCCTTGTACGAGACAACATAGATGGATTTGCGTGGGTGCTAAGAGGCGTACGTTTTTTATAGACCCATGACTTCTGTAACGGATTCATCGAGTCTGTTGCGCAGTTCACCTAAACGTAAAGGTAGGCGCACTGTGTTCCACCCCGGATTACCTGAAGAAGAAGAGGGGAGGAGTTTTCATTTCACGAGGAGTGGCCGCTATGGGACGGCGCTGGTGACCCTGGCGATTAGCGACAAAGGTGAAGGCGCAGAAGCACAGACTCAGGTCTCATAAACTGTCCTTGCCCCTGCGAGGTGGTTATGGGTACAGTCCCCGTGAAAAGAAAAGATCTCAAGCAGTTGAAGTGAATAGCGCCCGCACAGGCCCAGCACAATAACTTTTCGCC